TATTCTTTACATTGTTCGCTCTCAGACAAAGGAAAATATATAAACATACATTATAATATCTTCATATCGCATGTCAATATCACACCACCCACGATATGTCGATATCACATCAACCACGATATGTCGATATCACATCACCCACGATATGTCGATATCACACCACCCACGATATGTCAATATCACACCACCCACGATATGTCGATATCACATCAACCACGATATGTCAATATCACACCACCCACGATATGTCAATATCACACCACCCACGATATGTCGATATCACATCACCCACGATATGTCGATATCACACCACCCACGATATGTCGATATCACATCACCCACGATATGTCGATATCACATCACCCACGATATGTCGATATCACACCACCCACGATATGTCGATATCACACCACCCACGATATGTCGATATCACACCACCCACGATAAATTGATACCATACCACCTGCAAAATGTCGATATTACATCACTTACGGGTTCCATTACCTTCAAGATTTCACATTACTAACGGTTTCACTTACTTTCACTATTTCACATCACGTACGATTTTACTTACTTTCAATATTTCACATCACTTACGGGTTCCATTACCTTCAAGATTTCACATTACTAACGATTTCGCTTACTTTCACTATTTCTCATCACTAACGGTTTCACTTACTTTCAATATTTCTCATCACTAACGATTTCACTTACTTTCAATATTTCTCATCACTAACGATTTCCATTACTCTCAATACTTCTCATCACTTACGATTTCTATTACTTTTAATATCTAATATTAAGCAGACTTCAAATATAACGATGATTCAACATATCGAACATTAGTCTTCATTCAAAAGCCATTGCACAATCAAGAGCGCACATGCACATATTGCATAAGTATTTTTTTTCTTTTCCTTTTTTTTATATATATAATTAGGGACTTTTTTCTTTTTTTTTCCATTGCTTTATATATGAATACTATCTGGAAATAACGACGCCTTATTGACTTCATGTGAACAGACAATCTCTTGAAAGAATTTTATGCTCTTCGTCAAATGAATAAATTACTGATCTTTATCGCTGACAGATTTGATTTGATATGACGCTATTCTCAGTACATTACATTATAGGTATTTAGTTGATGATTAAGTCAAGTTGAGAGTTCTTAAAGACAAGACGTGATACCCTATCGATAGTGTTTGAAGAGGGGTGCTTTCACCAAATACTTGGTACAGAAGAGTTCATCAGTTTTATATCTTGCAAAGAATTTCATGAATATAAATAGAATTTTGACTTATTAGAAATATCTAGAAATATATTCCTGTCCTTTATTGTCATCAATACAGCATATATTAACTAAGATGAATTTGTGGGTCTTTCAACCTCATGGATAATTACTCGTAATAACAATTGTTTTATTAAATTGTTACATTATGACTGGCGGTTGTCATAGGGACATTGTTTCATGATCACAATTAAACACTTACGATATATTCTCTTTCCGCAAAAAGTACTAAAAACACAAAGTTTGTCGACTTAAATTCACAGGAAACCTAGTCCGTTACACAGTCTTTGTTTTTCATATCGATGTCCTGACATCAGACACTTAGACATTTATAAATACGACAAAGAAAATACTAACATGTCACCAAAATCATAATCCAATATCTAATTTGTAAAAACTGGTTCAAGATATGAAATTAATATATACTTTCACGGAGACTCCTGAAAGTATAAGGAGAAGAAGACCAGGTGTCTCAGAAGACAGCCGTTCTGTAAATCTTGATAAATCCAGGTAAGTAATGTAATGTAATGTTCTCAAATGAGAACAATGTAAATATGAATTGAACCAACAGGTATACTAACGAGAATATAACATGTCCAGCTTCATATGGCACATGGAAACAGAATGTTTCCCGATGAGATCAGTATGAAGACGGTAAAAATCCCAGATCGTTTTCGTCAACCTGCATCTCTCGAAAATCTGTGTGATGAGTTTGTCTATCAGTTGCCCACATCTTGCACGAAGATCGTGATATTGAGAAGAAATCCTTGTATACAGAAACAGCAATTCGATATTAAATTTAATTTACGAACATACAAGTTCTAATTAGAGACAACTTGTCTTCTTGAATAGAGTGTCAAAGAAAGTCGATTTGATGTCAATGCATAAAATTAGCGATAATCAATTCTTACCAAATATAAACCACTTTAGATTTTTTTTCACACCAGATTACACTAGAACCATGATTTCTATCCCAAAAACACTAATGATGTTTTGCTTCTGTCTGTATTTAATGTCATCACGTGGGCTTGTTATTATCCGCGTTGTACGGAGATTGTATGTGTTATTGTGTAGGTCGTGTTTCACCCTCTGCAGCGTAGAATACTATAGAAACTGGGATGAGTAAGACTTAGGACCACATACCACAACACGTCTACAGTCCTCTCTGACTGGGTATGTTTGTGATCTGGAAGATATGATGAGTGTCTGTGTTATGGGCGATCGAGTAATTTCGTCAAGGGTCCAAACAAATAGATATTGCCTACAGGATCACAATTTGTAATAACTATATTCAAGCTTAGCCATACTTGATTCCAGATGTAAATGAACATTATACCACGTCCGTATTTTTTTCGCATTTCATGATTCTGCCCCCAACTAAGAAGCTATATGCTGGTAACTACACGCAACGTGTAAACATAACACACTGCTTCACAAGTACCAGAATGACACGTTACTGAAGTCTTCAGTGTAGCAGAACTTCCCTAACCTATCTGTTTCAATAAAGACCGTACACAATTTACTCATATACAATACACCTCGCATTGCCAGAATTTTTATTTGTGAGTGAGGCGTTTTTTTATAGAGAGAGGGGTTGTTGGGTGTTTTGTTATTCTTGTACGCATTTCATGAATTGTCCCACATTATACCAAACAGACTATAGTAGAAAGTACCGTAAAATGTACGACATGTCAAAACAACATCCCAAAGTGACAGTTTGAAATACGATACACTTTTCTCGTACATACGTAACGGAGTTTCTTAATGTCACGTTTGCAGCTGCAAACTTTTAATGTATTTTACAAAGAATATTTGTAACACGACAGAAGCCATAACCGTCATCTTTAAACTGTCAAACGAACTAATGTGTTTGTAGCCAAAGCAATAAATAGTCAGATAAGCTCGTAACATCGCCGGTGGAGGTATTCATCACGACCTACCTCACAGGGTACATACGGTTCTAGGTACTCGTAGGGCTGGGAATCGGTGTGAACGGAACGAGAGGCTTACATTGGAGTCATGTGACATCCTATCACAATTTCTTTTTTTTTCAAATGTGTATTACTGCTTGTTTTTTATCGCTAGTTTTAACATAACATCAAAGAATTAAATGTCATTAAAAATCAATTAGTTTAACCAAATCCATAATTACAAATGCACACGATGCAAGTGGTGTGCACACATGGACCTCCGAGGGTTTTTTTTCAAAGACGTCCGGTGTGTGTGAGGTCACGTGATATTCTTTTCGAAGACTGATTTGAAACGACGTGTAATGGTGCTGTTCTCCGAAGACTGGAGAGCTAATTGAGTGTAGAACGATATAACAGTCTCCGTCAATTCAACATCATTTCTGTAACACATTGTGAGATTAAATTTTATGTCTCAAGAAAATGGAATACAAACATGATAACCTATGCTTGGAATCTGACGTAATGAAATCAAAGAATTCCTGGCCCGTTGACAACTTCGTTATGTTCCCTGCTCTAGATTTTACTATCCTTATCGTTTTATCTGATGTACTTATAGAAGGAGAATGCCTCTGGTGAATCGAATAGAACTTTACAATATGTCGTTTTCCCCCTCAATCAATATAATCAAACAGCGAAATTTCGTTCAAGAAGTGCCTTTGTAAATTACTGCTGGAATATAATGACATTTGCCTCGTTAACAATTAAATTTGAGTCAGTTCCTTTTGTTATCGCTGAGAATGAAATCATTAATTTTTTTTCATGATAAATGTATATTATTAAAAACCCGACGTAACAACTGGTGAGCATGCAATTTTAATGCAGAGGAGCGTGAGACATGCTCTTGACACTGCCGTGGTTCCGCTGTTATATCTTATTTGGACTACAAAGAAATGTGAAAATTGTACAAATGCCTCTTTACAGATTCTGTTCGCATTGTTAGTATGGCTAGATAAACGTTTCATAACTTAACCAAGACTCATTACTATAAAGATTCTTTTTTCAAAAAATTGATTAGTTATGTCGAGTGCGTGATCAGTTTTGTTAATATAGCAGAGAGAAATTTTGACCTCGACCGAAGGCTCAAATGATTCCACATTTTTTTAATTGAATATTGGCATACAACAATACTTGGACATTTTTTTCAAATGTCAGCGCAAGCGTATGTGAACATCTTGTTTAAATCAAATGTTATCTGACTCTTTCATGCTGCAGTCCTTTAAAGACAATGAGGTCGCTGTCCGGTATATTGCTTTTAATTATACAGCCATCTTGTTTCCAAGGAAACATAGAACTGAAATGTATACAAGTCTATACACTATGTTACTGTTGCTCGGTAGGTTACGTGAAAGGAATTAATTGTCTGTATATTCGTTCATATAAAACAACTTATGACATTGTTGTAAATACCCGACATTAAAACGGTATATTTGCGCGCGCACACACATGTATATATTGCATAAATAGTGAAACATTTCTTCTGATAGTTATGAACGATCATTTTAGATATTCAAAACTGAAGAGAGGCTACTCAAAAATGGCAATAAAATTGACATCTCGTCATACTAGGTCCTAAATGAAAAATCTGAAGAAAAAAAAACTTTTGGAACACATAACATTAATCTGAGAGTACAATGCATATCAGTATGTGCTTGACAATGTATATATTATATGTGGTGTTTTATAGATTGAAAAGAAAACACGGAGACAAGATACTATATATATATATAAGAACACGGTGCACGGATAGGAGAGATGTTTATTTTGTCGTTGTGTATACATATCTGAAACACATCATTACACTTTAGGAGATATTTGATATTCATACAGCTATTCATTATAGGTCCTTATTAAGTACATTACTAAACAACACATGAGTCAACAACATGTATACTCAGTCTTTTGTCGGTATACCTAACTTAATGCGAAAAATCATGGCGACTGAATAGGGCTACATTTGTGTATATATATATATATATATGTATGTATTTTCCTCACGAATTCTTCTCGACAAGGTTCATTCAAAATGTGAAATGACATTTTTGTATTTCTTTGGCGTAGCAACAAGGCGTCGCTTTGAATTATCAATAGCTGTTTTTTCTGCTTTTAGAGACGACAAAACAAAAAAAAAGAAAATAACGTTAAGTGAGCGTAGTTTCTATTATATAGGATGTACATATGTTAGTATTTTTGAGACCTTGTGATATTTGACCTTAATTATCAATTATATATGACGTACATATAAACGTGTAAGTATCTGTTGTGACCTTGTGATATTTTGACGCACATCACCATTTTTATGGTTAACCATTTCATTAGTTACAGGGGACATAACTCTATACAACTAATGCCAGTTACAGTAGGGCAATATAAATTACGGAATGTAAATAAAACGGACACCGTATAGTTTATGTTTATATACAAGTGAAATCTTCGTCAACCTTTTAAAATCAACTCTTGAAACTCAATCTTTCGATCACACATTAAATACTTTTTGATACAATCACTCCTCATGGACTACATATATATGAAAATAACATAGAAGCACCGGCCGACCATCAGATAGTCTTGTACAATAATACAACCTTATTTGATATATAACCCACTTCTATCTTTAACTGACTTTTCTATACAAAACAACCAACAGTATCATTTAATCCTAACCGCTTCAGAAAATATTCGGTAAACCTGCTAACATATATAATACAACTGTCTTAATATTTGGATATTCCCCAATAACTTGTTTTTGATATAAAGATCCGTGAAAATACATTGTTAACAGTTTGAAGATAGTTACATGGATGACACACAAGAAAATGATAATGTTTATATTATCACAATTTGTGAAAATTAATTTAGGTTTAAGTGTAAATTTCGTTTTATATTTTGTTAACATTAATGTGTTGATTTACAACATGACCTCTCGAAATTGACTTTAAAACATTAATTTATGTTGAAATGTTAGATAATATCCATTCTTCACCAAATCTTTTCCATTATATCACCATTGGTGAAGCTATACTAAAATTACACTGTAAGATACTGTACATGTAAACCTACATGTATAATACTTGAATATTAATATCGATACTTTCATTGTTTATGTAAATAAATCCATAATACTTTCATGAATACATTCAAGCAAACATTTACAGACACTTTGATATAATTCGTGTGGAAGTTCATCCTTCAAGTCCTTCTGTCCACCTAACCCGAGCCTTGCGATTAAGCGTGGCTTGATATTCCCACCGTCTGACAACATTCCCGGCTAATGGAGTGTCAACAATTTTGGTACTGGGCGGGAAATCCAGATTGCTCACCCCGTTTCTCAAGGAAAGGGTTTCATACAAATGATCGTTAGGCGATTTGTCTTCGCCATTAGTCCGTGCGTCCTCCTCATCGGGAGTTTCTAGTTTCATACTACCGTCCCTGAATGTCTTATAGCCATCGCAGATTGTTGATTTTGTTGATGACTTCCTACCAAGGGTTTCATAAAAATGTTCTAAGGAATCTCCACGGCCTTCACTCTTCGTGTCGAACTGAAAAGTGCTAAGTGTTGAAGAATCCGGTGAATTTCCATTGCGATGGCCTTGACTTTTCAATGACAGATTTAAATTTGAATGCCCTGCCACAGGAATGTCCGGTAAATTTCCATAGGTATTTAACTGGCAATGGTGCATAAATCTGACATTTTCTCCAGTAGGCGGCGACCCTCCAACGCCCTCTAGTGTCACATAAAGTTCTCGTCTACAAATGTCATTCTTCACTTCCGTTTGTCCTCCATATGACACATGGCTGCTGTCACCGTTTGTCTTTCTCTGCAATGCAGAAGATTGATTCACATGAGATTTGCCGTAATTAACGAAAACAACAGCGATACAAACAATATAGTGTACGTTCAGGTCACGTAGTAAAAATGCCCAATAAGTTTTCTAGGATCTCGTGATCTGATCAATAACAGCGTGTTAAACATTGACCACAGGCGATATATCTAGTCAGAGGAAACATCACCAGCTTTGACCACTAGCCTTATCTCGTGCCACGGGGTATCTGATGAGGCGTGCTATGGAAATGGTGCTGTACTTCAGTCAGCAACGCCGAGTTGACTGTCAAACAGATATTAATAGGACGATAATGGAAAAGATATACTGAGCGTTCGGACGATAAATTGTCTAACTAGACACCAATGTATGGAAGGACGGTATTAATAACTCGATCTTTATGATTAAAAGGCAGTAAACATCGACTTATTGCCTCTCTCATTGATTTTCGAATTATCTCGAATTATCCGTTATTATCGCGGTCACTTTTGCTTTGTCCGTGCAGCACTGGCCCGTCCATAAACCACACACAGCTGATGTACAATGTGACGCGGTATCCCTAGAACAGGTCAAATGGGATTATATATATAAAGGATCTCAATTCGTCTGTCAACGATGTAGCGGTCACTCTCGATTCGATACCTTAATACAAATGATTGCTCTACAATATATATATATTTCACAGACTCGACAATTTTAAACTTATGTCAAAACTTGAATTTTCAACAACTTTGTTTTTATTATGCATTAAGCGAATTAAAATGTTTAACATTAAACATATACAGTTGTAGTAACGTACAACGCAGCCAAAACTTCGTGCGCACATCGTGCATGTATCGTTCGCACACGCGCACTATACAGTGTCAGGAACATGAAATTGTGGCTAATATTACGGATTGAAAATTAAGCGGAAAACTCGTGTAGTAAAGACTAAATGGTATTCACAAGCGTATCAAAATTGATCGACGATTTTAAAAGTAATGTTTAAATCGATAATCTTCGAAATAGCAACGGACCATGTATTATTTAGTCGTTTTATCGTTTAGATTCACACCTCAGAGACTGGTGAGTGGTGTGCCTCGGACAACAAAAATTCTATGTTTAGGAGTAAATACGTGAAGGGTCCATATCCGTACCTGCTAGGTATCCCGAGTAACGAACAAAACACTTAAGATATACCTGAGAATATATTTTGGCTTATAAAATTATAGAAACATGAAAGTAATAGAGAAGAAACGAAAATAAAATTCCTTTCTGAGGGCACGAAGTTGATATATCTACATCGAATTCCGTGCTGGCGGTATGAGATTTTAGACGATTCATTATTTGCTGAGACAAAATGGCACGTCCATTCAATGTCTGCATATATATTATATATATTCAGTCTGATATATCTGTATGTGTTCACCCTATATATATATATATATATGGGTTAATAAGTAAATGTACTTATAGTAATCTTATAGTTATATTTAGAACATAAATAAACCTATTCCATACTTATCTGTAAGTCATTATTTCTAAATTTATATCAACCGCGATAAAACCGCACAACGTGCACCAGAATGTGCGATAGCATATTTCGTCCAGTCTTCCTATCGTGTGCACATCGTAAAACGTTTTGCTATTCCACAGCTGTATCATATTATCTTGAAAAAAAAATAGGAATGTTCAATTCAGGACTTAAGACTGCTTCGTAGTCCCTAGACGAACTTTCATATCATGCATTAAGAAGCTTGATTCGTTTTATAATGTTACACATTATCGATTGCAATTCATTTTGTTCTCTAATTTTCATTAATCTTGTGTAACGTTTCTTCAAAGATAATTACAAAAAGAAATCGGTTTCGTGCAATAAAAACAACATCACACGTTGGTGTCCTTGTGCCTCCTCAGATACACTCCATTATACAGACGACAGTAATATTCACTCGCGCGTTCGCAAACTAGTGGAGAGAAAATCATACTTGTTATTAAAGAATTAACGAAAAAATCTCAAGGCGTACACGCAAGACATTACTGTGGAGCTTTTTTTCTGACGAAACAAAAGTTCATATCTGTTTTTTTAACAATGTGTTCAGAGCTGCACCCCGAGCTGTCTAAGACATTGTGCTCTAACCTGTGATATAAAGATAATTCAACGCACACAAGAGGCTACCTCTGATAAGACAGAAGGTCGATGTTTTATATATTACTTAAATTTTACTAACGCATATGGCATACGTAAGGTGATTGCGGTGAAAATGACAATATCGATAAAACATTTACTGTTAAATTCAATTAGTTGGATATTTTTTTTTCAAATAAACTAATTAAAGTAAATGGCTGTTATTTTGTAGCAGTTATTCAATTGGTAGAGATAGAGACTTTTTTTTGATGAGCAAAACGTAAAATTAACGCGTGAGAACTGATCCGGTATAAGGTTTCTGATACTTGTAGATTCCAGGTCCTAATGACACCTAACCCACAATTATATCTTCTTTTCCCTCCGGCACTTATTCACAAACATCAATGGATGTTTCTCAAATTGGGTTACGGAATGAACGTTGGACGTATCGCGGAGCTTCCACGAGATGGACCTTCTGAATTTGACGGACACGATCAGCTACTTAGGGACAGGCCGTTCAATCATTCCGACATGGCGTATTCTAGTAAATCAATTTTACAAAGGGCTTTACATCGAGTTCAGGAAATGAAATGTCAAATATGGAATTCGTCGAGGCTTGTTTGTGTACGTAATGAGGTCAAGGTTGAGGAGCCATTACCTCCGGAGGCGCTGAGTTCCAACGTCGTTTCTCCTTCTTACCAGCGATAGTCAACTTCCGGTGACGCTCCGATCTGAAGCAATTTAAAGTATACATCGCAAATAAGAAACTAAATAAACACATAATTTATGCTAAACTAATAAAACAGTCGTGTCTTATATAAATATGTATATCAATATATTAAATTCATTTATATATACACCGTGCGCACGATATTCATATAACTGTGTACAATAAACACAAGTCTGTAACTTCTCATTATTCTCACAAATCTGTAAGAGCAGTACCTTATTAATTCATTTCTTGAAATTCATGATTTGGCGGGAAAGTTTCGCTGTTCATATGCATTTCAAAGCGTGTATTCCAAAAGATTCGCTTGAAATTTTCCATGACAATACAAGTTTGCATATGTGATGTTAATTTAGGCGCAATAGTAAGTACTTGAACTACGTCATGACAACATCGATGATTCTTGACTAGTGAACTGGTCGGTTGTAAGCATCAAAAAGTGACAAATCACAAGGCTAATATCCGCAATTAAAGGCGATCAGAGTCGGCCGAACTGAGTGCGATTTTCTTTTAATTAGTGTCTAACAGTATGACATAATCTCGTGTTATCCTCCACAAGATCGCCGGAATACGGCATTCGATTTTACCTTGACATGTTCCAAGGACACCATAAAGAGAAGATAATTACACTTTAAGCGAAAGCCTCAGGATTAGAAGATTATGAGTTTCAACATGAGGTGATATGTATACATTTAACATCGCTGATCTTTTCCCTTCGCATCAATTTGCTATCAAGGACAAGGCCACAGAAGAATTACGGGGGTGTCTATACCAGACACAACCCTCGGACGTCCGTTTTCCATTCCATCAAGTTTCTGTGGCTAAAACAATTTACCAACTAATTGGCTCCCTGTGCTGTTTTTATGCTTGACAACAAACCTATGATCTTTAAAGCACCAAAGTAACCTCTTCTGTTGTTAAAACTCACTTATATTACTATCTATGGCATGGTATACCTCGTTTGTGTGTCTGTTTAGTGAAAATCATTGGTCTACTCGTTGTTTACGCACAGAGGATTTGCCCAAAGGTATCACTTCACCTGCTCTGTATTTTATTATTGTCTCAAATGTAGACATTTCGTGTTTTAATTAGCCGGCCAGGCGATATTTTCATCCAAAACTGCCTCGAGATACACCATATCTATGCAATTATTTTAAGGTCTTAGACGTCTGAGACCAAAGATCACAGTGTCAAGGACACACCGAACACCTAATAGACGTTTAAAACAACCTTAGATTCATGGTTTTCCGGAAACATTTTTTTTTATATTTGTCAATGAGAGAACATTACAATTTTTTTCGATGAATTCTGATGGTCATGTGGTTGAAGTATGTGTGATTGCAAATCCTCGTGTGACAAGGGAGATAAATCTTACAGTACTGACACAGCAAAAACTACTGGATTCTTCGCACATTTTCGCGTGAAAATTATTTTGATGGCGTGTCCCCAAAACAAATCATACATGGCACAAAGGGCCATCGCCCTAAAATAAGTATCGTGTAGTACATATTTTAAGGAAAGCATTTTACTGAGAAGTCAGATAGATTTCGTCTAAATGAAATTCTAAATAGAGAGAAAAAAAAAGAGGGGGGAGGAATCTAGCCATGTCTGAATATAATATGAAATGTATTGATTAAACAATCACTGGATTATTGACTCCCTGCTTTCATCTCTCTATTTAATCCCAGTTATCGGTTTTTTTTCATATGTTGCATTCTGTTAAGGTACCTTATATCATTACGCATTTCTATATCTCATGTTTACGGACGTAAAAGATTTATTAATGAACTAAATTTTTAAAAATGACCATTTTATCTCAATTTTTCTCTATAATTCCTTAAATCATGTTTTATTTTTTTTTTTGAAAAAAATATCGATATATGTTAACTAAATTTCTGTAACGTTGTTATAACTCGGTGCCATGGTTTAGTAAAATCATTACAGCCTAACGATTAAATCCTCATGTTTCTATTTTTTTTTTTTTTATTTATTATGATTTAGTCTCCATTATCTCGTTAAAGTAAAATTATAACACATTAATATCGGTTTTTATTTTTCAAAGTTTATAGTCAATACAATATTTTGATGAAAAATGAGAACATATTTATTGTTATTTTAAAATCGCTTTTATATATTTTCGAAATAAGAGTTATCTCCCTTCTACCAGCATTTGTGTTATTCTACTAATGATAAGAGTTATTTCCCTTGTAACAATTTTTTACTGTGGTAGAGCAAAATAAAGAAGCAAGTTGTAGTTTTAAAATCTTTGTGTTAATCAGACATAATAAATATTTGATAAGTACATAATTAGTCTTTTCACCTCGACTTCACAAGTCACAAATTTTATTATGTACAGTACAAAAAAAAACACGCATAACGTACTTTAGTATGTAATGATGTGATGTGTACTTTGCTAGTCCTCCGTAACTATGAAACGGAGGGAGAGGGAACTAGATATTCCTAGTCTGTATGTGAGCGTTCGTCCGTACGCGCTTAATACAAATTTTAGCGCTTTAGTGGTTTTATTCCTAAACGTCAAAACTGACAAACGACCACATGCTATCTCCAACAAGTTCGAGTTTCATGGTTGTTTGGTCTTATCAAGGTAACTGTTACTATCATGAAAAGGTCATTGTTAGCGCTCTAGGGGTCTCAGTTCTTGAGGGGTTTTCATAGGACTTTCATGGGAGTTTCAAGGTGAATAGGTCAAGGTCACCTTTTAGGAAATCATGCTCAGCTCTCTAACAGCGTTAATTCTTCTCTATTACATTGTCACAATAAAACCAGTTACAAACTAATTTTATACTTTTCTTTCTTCCTAAATACCACAAAGAAGTACCATCTTTGTAAAAAACATTAGGATGAAATAGCTTATGGATATATAACTCAGTACGACTGTTGATATCAGTACATAAGCATTGTGCTTAAATTCTTATAAAAGTTGTTTGCCTAATGTAAAATAAAGATGAGTGAAAATATCATTGTATATATAGATATATTACTTACATACACAAGCGTAACAGTATATCCAATTAACGAGTTATATGAGGTAACTGAGTGCGTGTACATGCACATGTATATCAGGTAGGCCACTAAGGTATACACGTGCATATAAAACAGTTCGTTATAATATGCACGTGTACATGGATATTCACTTTATTTTGCACATAATGCAATACACACGTGCACAAGTGATTATAAAACCTAAGTGAAAATGTACTTTTATCACATATACACGTGCACACATGTATAAAATAACGTGTACATGAAACCCCCTATGTGTGATCTACGCACGTGTGTATAACTGTGGGTCCATTATCTCTGTAATTAGCACGTGTCAATTAGTCAGGTACATTTTATTGATAATACGTACATGTACCTAAATATGCGTACCAACTGTACATTGTATTACTTCAATGTCTTATTCTAATAGTGCATATGTGTATATTACTTAAATTATATTGAAAGTAATACACGTGTTCAACTTATACATTATACAGGACTATTAGATTGGTATATTGATATTAACATACGCACGTGTATATAAGGTAGGCCACAATGAAGACTCCAGCAATGAGGAGAATGAGACAAGTCAATACCACGACACTGCGACAACCAACTTCGCATGACGTCAGAATCATGGATGCCGCTACACGCCCCGGTAGTTGATGTGTATCCGGCGTTGTAATGTTACACCGTCTAGCTATTCTAAAGATAATCCGTAATCCTTCTTCTAGTCCGAGCCGCCGGTTCCACTCCGTGGAAAAGATTATTTCCTTGTTCCACGGAGGAGGACAAGGCAAGGTGTCCCATAGTCTGTACGGGTCCTGTAGAGCCTCCGGAAAAACACACCGCCGACAAAGACTCCGTCGTGATACGTCCATCATGCGACGCCAGTGGGCCATCTAAAACACAGAAAGTGCAGTCAGCAATAAACAATGTTTACATTGTTATTTAATTTTGTTTACCTGTAGGAATTATTTTCTTTAGTATAATTCATATAACTAAGAATAAAATGGCTTTCAACCTTTTTCCTGTCAAGAGAAATCTGCGTTTGTTTGCATAATTAACATTAAATGTTAAATTTTCTCTGCAGAGCTGGAATCACCATTAACGTATAAACATCTTAAGGATGTACTTGTCTTAAGTGATAATAAAAAACTCGGTCCATTTCCGTTAATAGTTTCTGTCAAGAGTCGTGTTTCCGCTGTCTTTGAGGAGGCCACCTTTAGAATGTTGTAAACATTCGGAAATTAGCTACAAATGATGGCCTTCTTCAAACAGACAAGTGAAAACCGTTTGAATGACTTCAAGTTCTGAAAGTGGAGAGCCCAGGTCACCAGTAATTACAGCGTTATGATATATACACCCTGTCTATGTGTCGTGTTCGTCGTCATTTCTTCACCCTTGTCATAAATGTTCGGAAATCAAGGTACATCTAGTTAATCATAAATTATAAACGTATACATTTATTTTCATATTTACATTTCAAACGGAACTCTTTTAAAAGAAAATCACAATTTGTAAAAAAAAAAAAAGAAAAAGAAACAGGAGTAAAACTGCAGGAATCGTTAAAATTCGATTTTTAACAACGTCATCAGAAATACATTTGCACACGAAAAGACATCCATTAAGTCTGATTGCTGACACAGCATTGCTAATTGTCTAAATGGTAATGTGATATTACAGGACACGGAAGCAGGCCCATTATAGACAGTCTTCACACAGATGACATTCCGAGTTCGTCAAGGACAAATGTCACTGAACATGATACTGTTCTTCGAGTCTGAGAAATTCTGTCGATGTCTTCTCAACTTTTCTATAATCTTTTAAACTTTCTACCTTTCTATACTTCACATTTGTTTATGCTGTTCATTTTTTTATTCAAATTTGTGTTTCCCATTTTTTTTTCAGTCCATGATTACGCTACAATTGTTTTAGTTTCGATGATGATATACAGCCTTGGGCAAAAGTCAGTCCGAATGTTTCGACTATTGTTGGTTTCTCTTGAACTCGGTTAAAATCAAAATACATACATACACGTGCATGTGATTCTAACTATCCTACCGCATGTTCTTGAGAAAAAACATTTTTTGTCTTTAAAAACACATGCACGGAATGGTTTTTACTATGGCAAAAGTAAGACACGTTACTTTCAGAGAAAAGTGTGTACTGTTTAACTTGGCAAAGCATTCAATGAACATTGCTCCTGAATTGTGCAATCCTCAACATGAAACCAAACCCACGTGGACAGACTTTTCACCTTCTGCAGAACTTGAACGATTATAGAGATCATATAACACCTTTCTCTGGCTTCAAGATTTCTTTAAGCATTTATAAGCGGCTATGCGAAATTATACGTTATATATGAAGTGACAGAAAATAAAGTGCGTTCATTATGTTGAACGGCTGACGTATGGTTTCTCCCCCATTGGCACGACAGCGTCAAGTCGGTTTATCGGAAAGGGATACAACAGAAGTCATTTATAGGATAACAAATATATTGACTTCATTAGCAACGTAACCTACGTACTTAGAGACGTTAAGAACCAAATTACCGATGACATGATATCTCCAGCCACAATAGGCGGACTCGCTAACGAGGTATAGATGCAGTTAACGAAAACTATTATATACTGAAACAAGCCTTTACTAAGGTATCGACCGCGAGCACTTCGGTTGTCCACGAGCTTCTGGGTGTCCTTCATTTGAGGTCTACGCAAACACGTACAGTCAGAGGTCTCAAATTATCGGTTTCTCGCCATTGACTGTGAATCATTCCGGCCGTTCAAACATTTGTGGGAGTTCCAGAAGGTAGCGAGCATGGCGTTAGATAAGGATGTGTTTATATTAAAACTCTTCCAATGTTTGTCGACACAACTTCAAATGGTATTAAACTACATATATTTGACGAAATAAACAAAACATATTGATAAACGTTTAGCCATTGGGCTTGTCAATGTCATCTTAAGATGCAATTTGAAAGATTTTAAAGGCATTGCCTACGATGTTTAATGACAGGAAAGAGTTTAAACTATTTCAGTCGGAAACATTTGAAATTTAAACGCGTCAAACCCCAATGGACTGTAAAGTTGGCATTTATACATTGAAAGTAATATCAATATTCGTAGAGCTGAAGCGCTTAAACGTCCCTAAATGAACTGGATATACTATAATAACAAAAATGCTACATAGGATTCCAATTAAATCTGTACAAGGGTAATCACACGATGATTAGCTTTATGAATACCTCCGTCAATTTTGCAACTACATTATAAACTGCCTTGCACGCACGCTGACTCTTAAAATATAACATTACGTATGTAGCAAGCTGTGAGCAACGATAAAATCTAATTTTACATTTTAACGACAAGCTTAACCACTCTGTTTGTTTCTCCTACAAACATTCTTATATTTATCGGGTTTCTTGTTTACAAACAATATCACGCGCAGAACATCTTATATTAATTCTAAATATCATACAAACTTACATAATTCCGTATATCCAAACCAATTTAGCAGTCGGTCTTTCATTCGTAATATTCCACATCATGCACTGGTTTAAACATTTTTAGATAGCTAGAAACTTAATTCTTGATGAGATCCGTTTCTCATCAACTTATCTTTTAAGTCCGCTTCAAATTCACGTATTACTCCATTGGACTTCATTAAGACGCAGTGGCTTATTTCAGAACGGAACGGAAACGAAATTACGATCATAAAGCTAGATCCTGCCTGTGTCAATAGCAAGCGTTTATCTGGTCACGTGCTGAAAAAAAATTTTGTCGACAACGCCAAGTCTACTTCAGAAGTAATTTATCCTAAGAGGAAGATGTTTGAAATTATGTTCTCAGTGTATTGGCCTATATTTTGTAAATACGTTTCTTAAGAGGCTTGTCATTCTCCTCAAGTTACGCCTACTAAATGTGCTGACGTTTAGTTATAGTTTCTAATATATAATGTAGATACAAATGATAAAAAGTATACGACGTACAATTTGATGATAAAGCGTTTAAAGACTGAAAACTGAATACTTGTAGATGGCGTCAAATGAAATTTTTTACTGACTATCTGTATATCCGCCGTGTGATAGCGTGGTATTAAGATTATCGCTCAATATTACCAGCCATATCCCGATAAATGTGTTACGTATTCATCATTTTATTCATTAACGTAAGTGTCTCGGTGTGGGGAGTTAGGAATCAATTGGGACCATCAACAGTGATACTGAGACTCGAGAGTGCTGCCCTCTATCGGTCTGTGGCAGCCTCGGCTCAAGGGAGAAATCATTGAAGTATCTGTAGTCGGGGATCATATTGGCTAATTAATCTGGAGAGTTATGGAGTACATTGTCATGCAATACTATGATTAATTAACCCTCCCCCGTGATCAAGTGTCACGTCGGTGTCAATGCGCTTATTCATAGAAGGCGGATGATCCTCATCTTGAATTATACGCAGGAACACATATTCATAGATTTGCGGATATTAAGAACATGGTCCCAATATCCTGGAAATTACATGAATAAAGATCTGCTGGCAACAATCTCTTGTAGTAACTAACAGAAATGTCGGCAAATATTTCTTGTTGCAATTGTCTTTCTTTTTCCTCTTTTCCCAGTCTACATTGACAATTTCCTTCCGATTTTCAGAAGCTAGAACGAAATTAAAATATATTTTTAACATTTTTACAACAATTATAAAGTATTTTAGATATTTTAGATTTCAGATATCCATAGTTAGTCTAATAATGAAGAAAGAAACCGCACTGGAAAAACAGCATACCCCAGACCATTCAAAGCTAACAAGGGGTTGCTTGGTGGGGTTCAGTTGCGAAAGGGTAAATTCGCTGTCTTGCTTAAAGGATGAATAGATGCATGTAAATGCTAAAAGTTACCGCCATGCTAACAGCACATCGCTAGTTCACTATAATGAATGCGTCATTATTTTTGCACACTTTCAAGTAGTGTCATGCAAGCCATTGTGTCACTGCACCAAAATCCGTCACTTTGTCAGACAGTTTAGAAAAAATCCACACAATTTCCTGAAATCAATGTCCTATGATATATCGTTACTGTCAAGTGGCGGCAGGAAAAAGGGCAATGGAACCACATTATATAGCTTTGTAACGAGCGCTTCACATCAGTAGCCGGAGAATTGGTCTGAATATCAAAAAAAAGATAACTCACATCTCTCATGACTCGGCCACACATCTTCGGTTATCTTCGTCAAGAATATGTTTATGACTATAATATGGCAATCATACGCTAATATTCTGATATCATAAATTCAGATAAGTTTTCTATTTGTATTTTTTTTCTATAGTAATTTATTTCGTACAGAGTGCCCAAGAATTTAGAGATGAGGAAGTAGAGCAGAAGTGCCCATCTCGTGAACCCTTAGTTATCGTATAGAATTGGATACCTAACAGAGTTGCCGTGATAAATTATATATACCTTCATCCATATATTAGTATAGTGGTATGATTAAGTACTATCGTATGTACTTATTCATTTATTCAATATTATAAGGAAAGAATGTAAGGATTTTAATTGCCTAGAGATTTTTACGTGGCGCCATTACATTCAGTAGTGAAACTTAATATCACCTTATAATATGATACGACGCCGGAAGAAAAGATGGCGGCGATGGATGTCTTCTAACAGAACTCAACATGAACTCCATAAATGTTCATTCCTCTCGAATTTTCAGTTAATAAATACAGTGTAAGGTTAGATACTTTGTCACTTGGAGAAAAAATATAGTCTCGGTTCGCTGCCGTCAGAGATACGATTTTGAGGTTAGGAATCTAAATGTTATGATGTATGATATGCATGTATGGTGTAAACAAACCAAAAATAACAAAAAGATGGAAAACCGGACAGATGGTAGAAAAAAGACATGAA